TTGAGGAAAAACAAGCGATGGATTTGTTACGTTATAAGACGAGCTACTAGATGAATTATGTTTATGTTGAGGAGCTCTGCGTAAAAAATGTTGAATTGAGTGTGCCGAGGGTTGTATATTATGTGATTTTTTATATTTTGGGTTTGGGGGGGGGGGGGGAAGCGGAGAGAAAAAACAGAACGAGCAAAAGAAACAAATCACAGAATACAAACTACCAACCATTTTCCCTTTCATGTCTTGTAAAACCTTCTTGAACGCCAAAGTGGCGTTGATTTTGTCAAAAAGAGAAAAAATAGATGTCAGCGCTCTGCAAGCCTCCCACATCTAAGCTTTCTGTTTGGTCTCATTACAGTGGGCAGGGCCACTGCTAAGCGTATCTTGCGTGCCCGGTGTTTTCCTGTGGTTTTCCCTTCTCTTCATTTACCTTGGAACTTACTTCACCTTACAAAATAACACCTCTGACTGACCTGGCAGGAATCCTGCTTAACTCCCGGCATTTAAACATGACAAAAAGAAAAAAAAACCTGATTACCCCCAGCACACACAATGTCACCGGTGAAGGAGTCATAAGAAGGTAAAAACACACAGCTTGTCAGTGAGAGGTGCAGGCATTATCATATACGACTGGCTCGTTCCGTACCTATGTTCAACAGCGTAGCTCGATCGTCTCTTGATATCTATCCTCTGCTTCAACCAGAGCCTGTTTCATTCTGATAAAGTATTACATGTCCTGATAAGTTTCAGAGTCAACCATTGCCATCCCCACGTCATTGACATAACCATGATGTAGAAAAAGCACTTGCTGGACAATGGAGCAGAGACTATAATGTATACAGTCTTTTGGTCTCTTTTCATGAAACCGCCTTCCCGAGTTCATACAAGGCTCAATTCCAAGACTCACCTCGTCGTCAGACAGAGTTATTGCTCACAAGTTCCCAAGCCCAAAGAGGCTATTGCGGCCACCGCTGGATAGTAGCAGTCAAACTGTCCAAAGAGAACAACCACAAACAACCCTAAATCCTGAGCTGAGCACCGTGCCAGTCACCTAGTTAACCTACCGCGGCTCTCGCGCAACAGTCATCTTCAACCTCAAAGTCTCCAAGCTCCATAGCCATCATAATGACAACAACCCCCATCCCCCCATCATCCTCCACTTGAGCACCAAACCCCCACAGCCAAACAGCCGCCCCAAACGCCTTCCTCGCCACCCGCCAACAACTTCCTTGCCTTCCACACTAAAAACCAACCGACCCTCCCTCCAGGTCACTTGACCAAACGTGCTAGTAGCGTGCAACAAACTCACACCGTCAAACCTACCTACCCCATACTTTTGCTGCCCAAAACTCCACCACAAACCATCTTCATTGACACACAAAACAGAACAGCCCTTTCCCCCCCCCCCCCCAAAAAAAAAAGCACCGGCCCGGTCAACCTGTTGGGGGTCGATGGAGCCCTGGCGTGTGTAAAGAAAATGAAAGAGTACGTTACATACACCCAGTCCACAGAAGGCTCCAGCTTTTTCCCACCCACCCACGCGTATGCAAGGCAGAGAGTAAGCGAGGAAGCAAAGCAAGCAGAAACGAAAAGCCTCCCCCAAACAAGCGAAGCGCCAAAAAACCAACAAAAAAAAAAAAAAACCCAGGAAATATCAAATATGCACGCAAAAAAACTGCTGCACCATGAATCAGCCACTCGCTAGGTTATTGGGAACCTTAAGGGACAGGGCAGGGCATCGAACAATTCAACTCCATTTTGGCCCGTTTCCACTTGAACTCGCCTGTCACAAAAAGTCATCAAAAGAAGAATCCCCCACTTGTGGAAGGTGGTCTTCATGTAAGCTCTACTGCTGACGCCACATGGCTGTAACAACCAGTCTGATAGCCACTGGTGTGTCGAGCATTACTCATACCGCATGTCCTCCACCTCGGGCACAGCTATCCCAAGCTAGCTCATCAAAGCGACCCAGGCGCTGCGAGCTGGCGGGAAACAAGTCCTCCACAAGCCCGAATCTGACGACAATGGCAGGGGAAAAAGCCAAGGATGAGACAAAACAAGAGCATTCATCATGGGGGGAGAGGGGGTAGCGGGTCATGGTCGGGAGACGAGGCAGAAAGGGGAAGGAGGGCTTGAAAGAGTGGAGATATGCATGTTATGCATTCTTCAGCATATGACCACTTAAGCAACTCCTCCCCCCTCAGAATCCAAACAAAGAGAGGGGCTTTCGGTCCGGTCCGGCGGACATGGAGCAAAAGGTTGATGGTGATGGGCACAGCACAGCAGGGTATGCGAATCTTGGAACCTATCATACTGCGTCGATGTCGAGATAGGGGTTGCATATATGCAGGCATATACGCAAGCAGGAGAAAGGGGTGGTGTGAATGTCTGTCTGATCGAGACCAGTAAGCCGAGGAGGAGGGAGCGTGGAACTTTCCATCCCAGATTGCTGGGACTGCTGGACAGGAAAATGCAAGTCGATGCAAGGAGACAAATGCACTCACTTACTTTGCGCAGCATCCGCCCGCCCATATCCAACATCAGCAGAAAGCCACCAAACCCAGCATCCAACTTGTCGTCACGCCACAGCTGCACGTTGTTGCTAGTTCTTCATTATTTGAACAAGAGGGTGGCCAAGCCGGAACTCGTGCGCATCATCGTGCTGCCGCCGGCATGACAAATTGTCTCTTCGTGGTTCTGGGTAAGGAGCTTGATAGGTCCCGTCAATATCATGCATTATAGTAGTTTTCCCATCGTGCCTATAGTGAGGCTGGCCACCCCAACCACGACGGAAATGCTGCGGGGGGTTTGGACATCGGTGGAGAAGATCCAGAGAGAACCAACTGTTCATGGTGATATGGCACTATGGCAATGCATCTGCGAGTTTAGTTTAGTTTTCGTTTCGTTTCTTATTCCTCTTCCCCTCACGTCCCCAGTCATCTCTGACGGAAATAGCGAACTGCCAAGACCGGTGAGGTCGGGACAGGTCGCCGACGAGGGGGGGGGGTCGATCTGTCAGGTTGCACAAACGGAAACCCGGCCGGCTGGGAACACGGGGCCGACTAGGAGGGAAGGAACTCGTCAAGACGTTCGTTTCGTTTCTTCGACCCTCTCCAGAGAGGATGGTTCCGCCCCAGCAGACCCAGTACTGCTCAAACATTTGGTTCGCCCGGCGGAACCTTGACCACAGGCTCGAGTAATGACCGGCGTCTTGTTGAGCCAGTCAGCCAGCGTCAAAACAGCATCGCATGGCGATCTCTTGCTGGTATCGAGCAGCGGCGCAATCTCCCCGGCGGTCTTCCGCGCGGTCCGCGATGCGTTGGCGAGGGTGCCGACAAGCCAGAAAACCAGAGATACGAAGGGGCGTTCGCTGCAAGCTGCAGTTTGCCAACCCATCAGATAGTTCTGACCAGTGCTGTTGCACCTTCCAAAGCCATTGGGACCGAAAAAGGTGCATGCAGAAAGAGGCTGGGAGCAGGGAGAGAAGTACAGGTTACCCACGTAAGGTATTCCGTAACATATCCGTACCGTCTGTAATCATGACAGCCTGTCCCGAGGCGGTGGTTGCGCCAGGAGGGCCCTGGTCCATGGCGAGCAATCCCGCCGCTGAGCACGCAAAACCAACCCCTGCCCACGGATGGACCCCTGTCCCAAACCCTTCCAACCGACCCAGGTTTGGCTTGGTCGGGGAATAATAGAAGGGGTGTGTCATCTCGTCTTTGACGTGCAGCTCGACACCTGCCGCGATTCCCAGAAGCACACCGGACCCAGATATGCCGCACAAAGTTGTTCGGGGTTAGTGTTTATTGCAACCCCACGGCATACCCACGATGGTTATCCTTCTGCTTCTGTTGCGGCCTTTTCTGCTCTCTGTCCTGTCGTTGTATCCGGGATAGCCGCGAATCATGAATTGTGAAACTCGGACCCAGCGCTGGGGATAGGAGCAAATGTGGCGTCTGCACGGTCATTGATTACCCACGACCCAGGACCGCAAGCAGACCGCCTCATTTTGACCAGTCATCTAACAGGTCTTTGAGCCGACATGAAGGTGACTGGGAATTCGTAGCCAAAGTTTGATGAGAGCGAGCACTGAGCCGGGTCTTTACATGTGCCTTTTGCCGTATGTCCGAAAACGACACCGACAGACAGCAGATGACAGCCAGGGCCGGAGAGCCTCGGTTACATCCAATCTCCAGCTCATCCATGGGAGAGGCCAACGCTGTCATTTCGATGCTGCGGGATTCCTGCGCGTCACAGGGGGGTGCTTCTCGCGGGTTGGGGAAGATACGCAGCAATGTTGCTGGTCGCCGTTGGTCGCCGTTGGTCCTGTTTTGGTCCTGCACCGACGTCGCCTAATAACGGGCAAAAATCACTGCTGTTACTTCAACGAGCCGTTGAAGCCATCGTGCCATTTTCTCGTCCCCCTCAAACATTAGCCGCAAGAGATCGGCCCACCGCTGGGAACACTGAGACAGTACCGCACAATCTGCCGCGAGCTGACGAGCAGCCCGTTCGTCCCGTCTCCAGTGTCGGGTACCCATGGCGAGGAGACTGTCCAGATCCAGCCCAGACCCGTTGGTTTGGTTTGCGCACAGATGACGAGTGGGCAATAATTTACCGACCGGATGGATGCCGCTCGGCAGCGAAGACAGCCAACAGGCGCCCTGTGCCAGAGCGCTGGATTTTGGCAAGGAGTACGTACCCTGGGGACCCCAGCGTTTCGGCCCGGTTCGCTTCTCTGGGACAAGCACGCGTGTTCCCCGGGCTATCCCAGTCACAGCTGTCCCGTCCAACCCTCCATCCACCTTGCCCACCCCTCCCCTCCCATCATCAAGGTCCCTGCCCCTCCTGATTCCGTCCGATGAAAGTACCAATTTGTTTTGTTTCGAACTTGACCCGGCACTTGGGCTGGTGGTATGATGGGCACTTCCTCCCTGATACGTTCCTATCAGACCACGTATCCTGCAGAGAGGTAGTCGGGGTGTGAGGTCCTCATGTGGGAGAAATGAGCAGTCATTCCGGATCGTCGATGGTTGCCGTTATGGGAATGGCGGTCGAAAGGTCTCAAAAGCAACAAGTAAGAACCCTTCGATACCCGTCCTCATCCGGCCCAAACACGTCCCAGGCGGACACATTTCCGGCGGGGCCGATGGCGGGCTTGGGACGTTCTGTGCGATCCCAGGACCATGTCCTTGGGATTCTTGCCAGCCCCTTGGTCAGTGTTGAATGTGGTGTTTGTACCACAGCTCACAGCGGGCGGCGTTCTCGCTTGACGTCAGACCCAGCACCACCAATGTTTGAACAGCCACAACACAATGCGCTGGATTCTCCTCTTGGTGCGAGGAGAACTGATCGTGCAGCTTTCAGTGTTCAGTAAGAACTTGCCCGACGACCCGGTTTTCTGTGCTTGTTTGATCCTGCAAGCCCTGAATGGTAGGTCCATATGCGAGCTCCCTTGAAATGGAGCCAGCATTATATTATAGGACTGGTGGTGCGTTAAACTCACACCACCCATTGAGCTGGGGCCCTGTTTGTAGCCTTCGGGTCGCTTTTTGGTCGGCCACCGCTGCCGGGGCATCAAGTCCCGCAGCACGCCCAAATTTCCAATTCCAGGATACAACACAAGTGCTGAGGAGCTGGCCTAGTCATGAGTATCTGAACACTGCGTCGAGCCAAGACAAAGCCAACCCTCGCAGGCGGCGCGTGAACGAGGAGACACGTCGATTTATCCTTGATCTCCCAATCAAAGTCATATCCGACCCCCTTCGGCCGCGGCTATAGGAGTCAAGGTCCAAGTTGAGGAACAAGACATGTAACGTATGTCGTAGCCGGAATGAGGGCCTATCCCGATTAGCAGAGAGCTCCCCCTGGGGTTATGCGGGGGCGGACCTGTACACCGTGAGCCGTCAAGCATCCATACACAGCTCTTTGGCGATGCCTGTCCTAGTTGCACCCCCGTCTATAGGCAAGGAAGCCTCATATGTCCACGCAGCCAAAAAGCTGGCCGCCGTCTTTGGCCTCTCCAAAGCGGTGTAGTGTTCCATAACGTAGGTGTAGTTGAATTTGACCGCCGCGCAGTCCCCATTATGGTAATCAGCTTCCCACCCACTTCTCTGGGAAGCCCCCAGGGTTCCAAGGCAGGCAGGGGTCAAGGGGATCCCTCCCGTATGTGTTCCATGGGTATAATGCGCCAACGATACGCACCCTGATCGACAAAACCCATCGTGGCGTGCAAGAGAGTGACGGGCGGGCCAATCTGAGTATCCTGGTTCACCTCGAGGGTCCACTGGCAAGCTTTGCTCATTTCAAACGTGTGCGAGTGCCGCAGAGCAAGAGGCACATGGTCCGACACCGTTCTCGAAGTGAGTCCCGAGGGACCAGGGTTCGAGAAATATCTCCGCCCACACTCTCGGGACTGCATAATGCCATGAAGTCTGTGAAATACCTGACTCCATCTTCTCTTGCCTCTTGCCCCCATACTTGATGACGTGAATTCTGCCAGTCTTGTCTTTTTGTGGTCGCTGCCTTCTGTACCCCATAATTTTCTCTCAAGGTAGGTAGCAGAAGCCTCATCAGGAAAAACCATAACCATCAGACCGACACCATGGACGAAAGGTAGAGGGTACTCGCTCCCACTAGGTTGCCAGGCCAAGATGTGCTAAACACCGTGTAGCGATCTCCAAACGGTCCCGGTCGACAACACCTATCGCGAGGTCATCACTCTCAACGGCAGAGACTTTCAGAGATATGCCGTCGAAAACAGCATCTATTTCGCCCCCGTGGACGATGTGAGCAGGGACTTGACGGGCCACTCTGGCTTCTGGGCTGACTGTGCTCCGCGCTGGAACAGGACGAGATCGAGCGGCTTCACTACCAACACGAGCTGTTCAACATGGTGTTCGAAAACCGATTAATATTTCCTCCCGTGCCGCGGCCTCGGAGAATCTTGGAGTGTGGATCCGGATCCGGGGCATGGGCGATAGAAGTGGCAGAGCAGTATCCCGAATGCGAGGTGCGTATGGCATGTTTTGTGTCAGGTGTAGCCTATCCATCCGGGGTCTCGGGCGAGAACTTGTCAACGGTGACAGACGACAGCTTCGGCACCTGCAGGAGAATCCATGGCAAGACTCCAGACTGACTTTGGCCAACAGGTCATCGGACTCGACATCTACCCCTACCCGGTTCCAGAGGACATCCCCGACAACGTAGACTTCCAGGTGGATGACTTAAACAGTCCGTGAGAGCACCCCCAAACCCAAGCCCACCCCAAATTCGAAGTTAACGATGAGACCAGGTCGACCTTTCCCTCCAACCATTTCGATCTGGTAAATAGCAGGTTGATGTCGGGAGGCATCCACGTAGACAGGTGGACAAACTATTTGAGCGACATCTACCGGGTGCTCCGCCCTGGTGGTTGGTGTGTATGTCGATCAAGAGGCCGAAGGCAGCGGATGGGTGTTAACCGAACAATAGCAAATGGTCGAAATTTACTACAACGCCCAGTCCGACAACGGGACCTTGACAGCCAGTCAGTGCCCTTTTTCGATTTCTTGTGTGTTCCCGAGGCCTGGTGCTGACAAGTTGGTCCAGATCATGCGTTGCAAGTGTGGTCCCAGAGCTACTTGCAAAGCATACAACACTACAAAGATCCGAGGGTAGCGTTGAGATTGCAGACTCTGATGACACAAGCGGGATTTGTTGAAGTCGAATCGCGATTGATAACCCTTCCCCTGAGCGGGTGGTCCAACGGTATGTACCTGGTAGCCATCGGGCAACTGTGGCCCAAAGCCAGAGCTGACGCATGCATGAACAGATCCAAGAGATCGTGACATAGGGGTTGCGAACAGAGCAAATGCCCATCGGCTGCTATCGTCTCTTGCCATGTACCCGTTCTCCCAGGGTCTCGGGTAAGAACAGGTCTAGACCGTTGCGGAAGACAGCCTGCTGACCGGAAGATAACAAGCATGTCAAACACCGACATACAGCTGCTTGTAGCACAGGCCCGGGCGGAGGCTGATAACCCGGCGTTCAAGGTATGTCGATGGCGTCGAGGTTCTCAAGTGAGTGTACTGACTCTGGTTCACAGGCCTATTTTCCGGTGTAAGTTACTGTCTCGTCAAAATAAGCCGGGTGTAAGGGAGTAACGAGTTGAGCATAACTGACATGATAATGTTTGCAGCTATGTCTGCATTGGTCGAAAACCAGGGAGCAGTAGGAGTCATCGGCACAGCGAGATTCCCCGATCACACACGCCGTCGTCGTCCAAAGGCGGGAGACAGAGTGATTCGAGAAAACGAGCGCGACATTGAGACAGACGGAGAAATCAAGAAGGAATTCCAGGTTTCCATCCAGGTTCCAAGCTGTTGGTTGTGAAATGGCGGTAATGCCACATACGGCAGTCTCGGAGGGCCCCTTACATACCTGCCAGCTGGCAGGGGCGTCTGAACCACGAATGATAATGGTCATCGCATATTGGTTGCATTTGCATTTGGAAAAGGAAGGGACGGGCCCGGGGAGAGGGAACATGAGGAGAGGAAGGAATCTTCGCGGTTCTTGCTGTGTTCAGGTCTAGGCAAACCGGTCTCTCCCGGTCTAGGCCTTTGGCCTTGTTGCTTTGGGAAAGAGCATCATCACCGCCCGACAATTGCCAGCCAGCGAATCTGAGAGAAGGAGCAACTGATTCGTTGTATAAGGTCGGTAGACGGGCAGGGGGGAAGGATTTTCATCGGAGGGTTAGATGGGATATGTATGGATGGGACGGCAGACATAGGTGGAGGGGTTCCAAACCAATTGAGGTGCCGGGCAACAACAGGAAACAAACAAGCGCCCAGGGAAGATAGAATTGGGATGAATAGTTTGTTGAGGTACAATTAACAGAGCGGAGGATTGGCTACCTTTATTAGTATTTAATCCATCTCATCAAGCAAACGGCGGGGACCTGAAAAAGGCGTCCCTCCATCTCGGTTCCGCCCGACTGGGTCCTCATCACCCGTTCTTTCCACTCATCACAGTACCATTCATTGTCAAGTCGAGTATCACACGGTTTGATGGCCAACGGCCGCGCATATCCTGTCTAGAATTCACCGCTTACTCGGCAGTTGCCAGCTCCCACCTACCCGGGGCCACGACCCATCAGTTACCCTCCACAAACATCACCGCACTCCGACTCCCACTTCCCGCTCCCCGGGCCGCCAGCCCAAAAAGATAGCCAAGGCCCCGCCTCTGTGACATGGATGGGATCAAGCATCCGGGGAAGTCAACGGCACGCCCCGACCCCGGCAGTGGGCCTGGTGGCTTGGGGGCCGTAGATCAGGTGATTGCCCTGTCGTCTCTTGCGACGACAGTCTTGAGCTGACCCTTGGGGACATATGGAGTAGCTCTTTTGTTATAACCTTCATGGCCACTCTCGAGATCGCATTACAGTCGACAGCGGGAGATGGTGGTAGGCAAACAATGCATGCTTCAAGCCAGCCACGTGGTGTGCTCAGAGATCCTCCGCGATGGCTTGGCTCCAATCATAACTAGACCTATCGCAATCTCTTTCTTATCGTTAGTTATGTAAGATAGCGAGGGGTAGAATGGTTCCATATGCCCATTTCCTAGAACACATTCACACATTCTGCCACTTCATCAGCGATGTCCATCAGGGCACCAGGGCAATGGCTGATCTGAGCCATCTCCAGCGTGACGTCCTAGCGCATTGGGGGACCAAGATCCACCTGCAGCGGGGATGTGGGCAGCAATTGGCTGCATCGCCTAGCGTAACAGCTGGCGTGCATGATCGGGTCGATCCGCCGTGGCAGCAGCAACGACAACCAAAAAAAAAACACAAGATCTTCACTTCAAGACAACGACAACAACAAGCAAAAATGGCCGCCAGACTCCCTTCCTCCCTGCTTCGCAGCGCCGTCTGCCGGCCCAGCCCGAGCCTCAGGCAATCACCAACATGGCCCAGCTCCGCCAGCTTGCGCGCCTCATATTCCACCGAGGCGCCTCCATCACCACTCTACGCCAAAATTAGAGAGGATCTCAAGGGAGCCATGAGAGCCAAGGACATCAACCGCCTAACTGTTTTGCGTGCTGTCATGGCTGCCACCTTGAACGCCAGCAAGACCGACAAGCCCATCAAGACCGACGTCCAGCTCGTCGATCTCCTCCGCAAGATGGCCCGCAAGTCCCAGGATGCTGTCGCTGAGTTCAAGGCTGCGGGGAGAGAAGACTTGATTGAGAAGGAGGAGATCCAGCAAAATATCATTGAGGAGTACACCGCCCAGAGCAGCGTCAAGGAAGTCGGCAAGGAGGAAATCGAGCAGCTTATCACCAAGGTGGCTCAGGAACTCATTGCGGCGGGTACTACCGATGTGAAGGCCCTGAGAGGTGCTGTCACGGCAAGGGTGATGGGTAAGGAGCTCAAGGATGCGGCTGTTGCTGTCGAGAAGAAGGAAATTACCCAGATGATTGGTGAGATCTCGCAGAAGCTGGCTGAGTCGTCATAGTGGCAAGGGAACGCCACATTAGGTCAATTCGGCGATGATACCAGCGTTTCCGATGCTCGATTGTTTCACGTGTATAGTATGAAGATTGGCAGCGACACATTGAGCAGTGGTCGACAAAGCTAGAATTGTACGATATTTTGAAGATCTTTCCCCCCCTCGTTTTCACGAATAGTTGAGACGTTGGGCTATGTTTCGGGGTTGTGTTGCTGGTGTGAAACTGAAGCAAAACTATGCCCGCAATGACCAACCCTCACCGATGGCCCGCCATGGACGGCGCATGTGGCTTGACTGTTGGTGTGTGTGTGGTGCGCTGGGTGCCGTGCAAATGCAATGTTGGTGGCATGTGCTGTGTTGACGCACTGTGGTTGGAGCACTCCTGGAATGTGTGGTTGTGAACAACCATCTCACTCTGATG